ATCGCAGCGATTGCAATAACTATCGCGGAATATCCCTCCTCAGCATCGTCGACAAGACCTTTGCCCGCGTCGTGTTGAACAGACTGCAGTCACTGGCAGAGCGTGTGTACCCAGAATCACAGTGCGGATTTCGAGCCGAAAGGTCCACGATCGACATGATCTTCTCTTTGAGGCAGCTACAAGAGAAATGCCGTGAGCAGAGACGCCCCCTGTACATCGCTTTCATAGACCTGACCAAAGCGTTCGACCTGGTCAGCAGGTCAGGTTTGTTCACACTCCTGCACAGGATTGGATGCCCCCCCAAGCTCCTGAGGTTGATCACCTCCTTCCACAAGGAAATGAAAGGTACTGTCCAGTACGATGGCTCCTCCTCGGACCCCTTCCCCATCAAGAGCGGCGTCAAACAAGGGTGTGTCCTTGCGCCGACACTTTTTGGCATCCTGTTCTCCCTGCTGCTGCGCTATGCCTTCAGCCAATCCGAAGAGGGCATCTACCTGCACACCAGGAGCGACGGTAGCCTGTTCAACCTGGCACGCCTCCGAGCCAAGACAAAGGTGCGCAAAGTCCTCATCCGGGAGATGCTCTTCGCTGATGATGCCGCCATCACAGCTCACACCGAAACTGCCCTCCAGGAGCTCATCAACTGCTTTGCCCATGCCTGTTCACAGTTTGGCCTCACAATCAGCATAAAAAAGACCAACATCCTGGGCCAAGACGTCAGCACTGCTCCCAGCATCTCCATAGGTGACTGTACCCTTGATGTGGTGGAGGACTTTACCTATCTTGGGTCCACCATCTCCAGCAACCTCAGCCTGGACACCGAGCTGAACAGGAGGATCGGCAAGGCCTCAACAGCTATGGCCCGCCTGACCAAGAGAGTGTGGGAGAACACTATGCTCACCATCAAGACCAAGACGCAAGTGTACCAGGCGTGTGTGCTGTGCACACTGCTGTACGGCAGCGAGAGTTGGACTCCCTACACCCGGCAAGAACGCAGGCTCAATGCTTTCCACCTGCGTTGCCTCAGGAGAATCCTCGGTATCACCTGGCAGGATCGCATCCCAAACACCGAAGTCCTAGCAANGTCCCATTTTGGTGCCCATGGCTACACCATTGGTTTGTTTGAAGAAGTTGTTTCCGAATGAAAAACAATTGAGTGTGAGCACTAGTTCGGCTAAGCGTAGTAGTGTTTCAGATTTAGGTTCCTTAACAGTACGTTGATCAAAAAAATGTTTAAGGGCCAGAAGGCCTTCGCCATTAGGAATGACAGTGTAAAGAGACGTAATATCCATGGTGAAAAGAAGTTTGTTTTGGCCAAGGAAATTAAAGTCTCGAAAAATTTGAAGAGCGTGTTGGCTGTCTTTAATATATGATGGTAAAGTTTTGACGATGGGAGCCATAATTTTGTCTAGATAGCTGGAGATAAGTTCGGTAGGGCAACTGCAAGCCGAGACAATGGGCCGACCCGGGTTGTTAGGTTTGTGAATTTTAGGTAAAAAGTAAATACGAGAAGTTCTAGGAGTCGTTATGATGAGATTTTTTGCTGTGGCCGGCAATTCTTGTTTAGTTATGAGTTGGTTGATCGTATTCTTGATGGAGTTTTGATTGCTGGCAGTGAGGTCTTTGTCGATCTTTTGATAAAAAGAGGTGTCAGAAAGTTGCCACAAAGCTTCTTTTTGGTAGAGGTCGGAGCGCCAAACAACGACTGAGCCGCCCTTATCGGCCGCCTTGATAACTATGTCTTTGTATCATGAATCAGTCAATTAAAATGCTTTCCCATGGCGAGCAAAACATAATCGACGAGCCTGCACTCAAATAATCTTGGAATTCGTCATTTTGATATTCAATATGTCATCAACTGAATTACATATGTTTCTAAAGATTTTCTTTGCCTGCTGAAAATGTTCTACTCACCCTATAAATGGGCGCTGGCTGAATGTCAGGAATGTAAATCATCTTGTGTGTTCAACAGGATTCTAAGTGTAAATGTGTGAATTCGCAAACTATTCGCGCCCAATCTCTCAATTTTCTTTAGGCAGAGTAACATACACTACTCAACAGTAAATCCCGAACAATACCAGTTGATAAAGGAAATCAAAGTAAGACATAAACTAACTAGTTCTCGTCGCGCGCGAAGAGCCGAGCGTGTGTATATAAACAAGCTCTGCATTCATAAATTAGCAACAGTGAAATTAGTCCCGAAAATAAGAGGGTGTTCAGCTTAAACTTACCCACAGAAATACAGAGGAAAATGGTGATAACGAAAAGCAGCTTCATCCTAGAACTTGAGTACTCTCCTTTCTCTTCGTTGGGAACGCCCTCAAGGTAGATTATCTGTAAAATCAGACGCCTTATGATGAATACAGAGGAGTGACCTTTATAATTTCCAACAGAATTTACTTTAGATCCAACCAATCATAAGGGTTCATTTGATTATCTGTCATAATTTTTAACCAATCACACTCAATGGGCGGACTTATTATCATTTGAGTGATACGCATCTTTCTTCCTAGAAAGACAGAGGTTTTCCGAGAATTCAGAAGTTGATTGTTCGTCACTAACAAGGGCTTGATTGTTTTGGCCTCCTTGAAGATGTGAATAACAAATAAAGAGAAACATGACACTGCAGATTACGATCGTGTGTTCTGGGTCTTAGAAGCTGAGTCGACCCTTTCCCTTACTTTTTTATGTTTTTGTTCAAATTATGCGTCACTCCAGAACTGTTTTTATGTGCTTCAATATAATTTTCTTAGGATAGCGAGCCTTTCGAGGTTCTGCGGCCATATTTTTACAGGTTAAGAGGTCTTTTTTGCGGAAATACATTGAAGATCGAGAGGGTTTTTTTGGAAATTGACTGCTCCACGATGTTTAATACCTAAAATGGATTCGATTATCAACAGGCCCGTATGGTCATAATGTAGCTATTTTCGTAGCCTACATAGTCCCCTCTATTAACTATGCCTACATCCATTGTATGTGTCGATTGAAAAACACCGATTTGTGACATTATGCGTAAGTGACATATGCCCACAACGTGAAAATCTATTTGCACCTCAGGATAGAGATTCCCGACTAGGATGTTTTACCCTCACATGAAACCACAACCACCGTTTGTCGCTCTCGCTCTTAAGCCGGTCTCCCGGCCCCTGTGGGAGAGTCTGGAATGGGCAAATGGCGTCATGAGCTTTATGACACGAAAAAGATAAGCACATATAAGCTAAGGCAGTACACACTCGCCCTTATCTTCGGTATTCAGTTACCAAAATTTAAGCTTTCAAATATATGCATAGTTAGTAGAGGGGACTATGATATATGATGGTGATACAGTCAGCGATAAGTCAGGAAGGAGGTTTTTCGACGGACTTCGTCTGTAGACCGGTGGAATCAAGAGGTCCCCTTAAATCTTCTTCAGCCATCTGGTCGTTAAGCTATCTATCGAGTCTTCACCAAAAATCGCACGTGGAAACAGAAGCGAACGGTTCAGTTACCAAAAGAACCGACTAATATATTCCAAAACCAGGCTAAACTGGCTATTGAAAACCTCCCCTCCCCTCCCCTCCCGCCTTTCCTCTCTCGGTAGCCCTGTGGAGGAGAATGAACCATCGATTTAAATACACAGTACAATAGGTCACCTGCCATGAGCAATCAGTATTGTCTGGACCTTGTGTGACGCTCTCTTTGCATGAATAACAGATTATTATTGAGAGTCTTACAAAAGTTCACTGAATTTTGACACAGCGCTTCCAAAACTCTGAAACTTGATAGACACGATCAAGTCCATGATCAATGAATTTCAAAGAAATAATAAACGAAACAACGTGGACTGAGTAAATAAAATCCTCATTTACATCATCTAATGTAATGGAAAAAAGCAAGCGAATTTCACGACAAAGTTATCAATTGTACTTTTATTGTCGAACAGAAACCACAGACCTGATAATTTTTATCGAGGAACGGGGCCGAAGGAGATTAGACTGAGCGTGAGAAAAATATTAGCGTTTGTTTGTTTACTCGAAGTTTAAACACCTGCCGCTTGGAAATCTTGCGCATTCGAAAGCGTTTTCAAAAGGTTGCGGATATGCGTGAACAGAAGGCCAATCTGCGACGAAAACTATAACTGGTTTTTACTTAGTCCGTATTTTGTCAGACGGACCGTTCCCATTGACACGGTCAGGAGCCGTGTAGTTTTAGTCGCGAAAGTCATTTAACAAAATATTAAATAACATCGCTTCCTCGAGCCAGACTGGGGAATATTGGCCCTCGGTCCTTTTTGTACGGACCTCGCTGCGTTTGTTCCGTACTGCCTCGACTGTCGAGGCTGGCACAGCAATTTAACGCCTTGTTGGCTACAAACTTTCAATCGTTGACCGCAAATCGAAGGTCGCAAATAGTTAAAAAACACAGTGAAAACAGAAGAAAAAAATTAATTAAAATAACAAAATTAACATAAAGAATGACTAGATGAACATCAAGGCGAAATTTCACATACATTCTGTGAGAACCAAACAAAAAGAGAGTTCCACAAAACAACGAGGGTACACCGGCAAAACATGTGTGAGTAAACTGAAGCCTTTTTTTGTCATGTGACTAAGTCTGCCGCTCTGTAGGGGTCACGAGGCGTCAAACGCAAAGGAGAGAGAGGATAAAATATAATGAATACAACAATATGAAGGAAAACAAAGAAAAAAATGTCACGTCCTAATTTTAACTAAACAATGAACTCGGGCCAGCATTCCCTGGAACGCCCCTCGCGTTCGGCTGGTGAGAAGTTAATACTTTACAAAGTACATCAAACCAAAAGCTTAACAGTTCTAGCATAGTAATCTATGGTTCAAGTGCGGTATAGAGATTCAGCTTGGACAATCAAATGCAAGTAAGTGACTAAAATAATCAGTCACTTGCCAGTGCGCTTTTGGTTGCTCGCTATAGACTAAATATTTCACAAGACATTTTTATTCAAGTCAACATAGAAGCTTTTATTGTTATGAGACAATGAAATCTTAAATCATGCCACTCTATGGATGAGGCCCAGGAAGACGCATGTCAACATAAGGAAGGTGCTAACCACTAAAACTGCATTACTGTCGTTGCAAAGATCCGTAAAACAGCATTTGAACCAGCACGTTCCTTTGGCCTCCTTGCACGCTTTCAACTTTGAGATGCCTGAACCATTACAATGCAAATGAAAAGTGCAATCTCTCTGGTAATACTCTAATTCAATACCGCTGACCGTCCTGTATTCTTCGGTCTGAATAGCGCAGTAATTGTTTGGCGAACATTCTGTTTCTTTTCTGTTGTTGTTACAATCCTCTTGACTTCTGTAGCTTGCACATTTGTAGCAGTTGATCCCAAAAGCTGCAATAAAGTAGCCACACATCAAGTTCTTCGTTCAATAAACATAAAATTTACATGACTGAAGAGACTTGTCAGAAAAATTTACAAATTATATTTCCCAAAATCCAAAAGTGTAAAGGCGCTTACAGGATTAAAATTAAAAACTTAACAAATAAAATTGTATTTAACTTATCACCAAAGAGACTCGTTCCTGAAAAGCATTTTGAACTGATTATCTAAATGGCTCCATCTCAGCCACTAGTACACAAAGATGGTTCAGTCTAAAGTACTAAGTCGATTGAGATTTTCTCTTTTGCCTTTTTATGGCATCACAAGATCTTTTGCCAGGGGAGGTTCACTTCAGATCAAAAAAGTCGATAAAGAAAATTTAAATTGGATATGTAGTATAAACTCACGATCAACGTTATAAAGGAAAAAAGTCATAAACCATCAGGCAGCGCGCAGTTAGCACTGAAGCAAACTCTGCAAGTAAACCCGGTTCGACAATTTAGAAACCATTTTCACCTTGACACTTTCAAAACTGGAAGTTCAGAAAAACTCATGAAGTGCATTTTGACCTACATTGTCAGTTCCCTGCTGTCATATGACTCTTTTCCTCCAGAAACCTCTTTTAAAAAAGAAACCAGCTGGTATGATTGCCGATGTGGGAGAGCCAATGCCAAGAAGTGATTTTGGATCTCTTTCTAAAAATCTCCAGGGGGTATCATTATCTGAAAAGTTCTGCGAAGAAAGGGCATTGCTATTTTCAAGTTGCGTATACATAAAATGTAGGGAGTTTTAAACATCTGCTATCGAGCCTCGTGATAAAATTTCAGAATTCAGAAAAATTTTTGGCCGAAAAATCAGCAAGAATCATAACTTTAAAGACACGTGTAAAGCTAGCTACGTGCAAAGTTTGTCAGGCTGCAAAGTGACAAATTTGCCAAGTAATTTAAACATCACGAAAACCAAGCTTAGCTGAAGATTATATTTTGATGAAGCGTGGCGCCTTAACTTCTTTGAAAACAGTGGTCACTTACTTACCAACAGAGAAGCTTAGGAGAAGTACAACAAAAGAAATCAATTTCATCTCGTTCGGCTTGAAGCGGGTACTATCGTTCCTGAAGCACTACAATAAAGGAGAGCTTTAGTACTGCAGTAAGGCTGGGCAAAGCCGGTGTCAATCAATGTCAATGAGAGGCTTAAAGGAACCACTCAGAGAAATGGACCCAACAAACTCAACCAATATGTTTTGACAATTACTCATGCTGACCAAAACCAAGGAGAAGGATTTCATCGCATGCAAAAACAGATATTGCTCAATAGAGCAAAGGCTTAAAAAATGTCCTAGCTTGTCATCACTTTTTCTGTTCAAGAAGCAACATTTGGTAAGCAGAAGATTTTGATTGTGGGTATTACAATTCAGGGTCAATTCTTGCCTTTAGTTTTACAGCTGTAGCAAAACCCACGTGTAACGCCGGCATAAGCCGTGAAGGTAAAATATATCTTGACAGTTGTTCTGAAGCGGAAAATTTGTTTGTCGTCATATAACAGTGGCGGATTGCAGTGGCTCTACAGTTCAGGTTATTATAGAGATCAATCCAGTGAAAAGCGTTACACAGTCACCCTTTGAACAACTGGGACTGATCAGGATGAAACCAAGCAAATGCCGAGAGCAGTATCGCAGCGATTTAGAAAGTAAAGCAGTACAGCAGATCCTCAATCTTGCTTCCGGACTTGTTTCCCTTTTTCTCATGAATTTTAATTAGTCACATTCAAGATCTGTAACAAGCTTTTTCCATCAGAGCACATATAAACAAAATACCGTTAGAGCAGAAAATTTTTCTGCTTGGAAACACAGATCAGCACAGAATACATACATTCAAAAAGCCGTAAATATAGTGCACTCCACCTAAAAGTTCTAACAGGCTCAGATATGTTTTGTTGCTAAGTGACATTTTACGCGACATTATCCTAAACCTTTCACTGCCAAGATCTTATTAGTAATTCTCCTTACTGTTTGCCATACGATTCAGTTATTATCGTGTAAGTTTGGAGAATTTGGTATTGGATCAATTAAAAATCCCCTTCTTGATATTTTTCTGTAGTCTCAACACTTATGTGCTTGATATCGTAAGGAGAAATTCTATCTTGGTCACTCATGTCAGTGAAAGGTTTAATGAATGGAAAGACACGGGCTCAGGGTGGTGTCTGGGCTCGATTTCCATCGTTTTCTCGTTTTCTCGAGTCCAGTCTTCGGGAGTGGCGAGGGGGTGAGCGCAGGCTCACTTCCCGAACAGCGGCGCTTAATCGAGCCCATTGAAGTGTCCTCTACTAACGAGGGAACGAAATTCAAGTGACTGGCAAACTGTTACGAGCTCGGAAATTGTTGAATGCTTGCTTTAAGAACGGCAAAACTCTGATGAAGCAATTCAACTAAGATTTGTTTGAGGCGCAGAAGAGAGCAACTCTAGCTTCTTGCACTTCCTAAGTGCATCCATAACTCGATATATCCACAGCTAAAGCATGGACCAATTCTTTTATAACATACCATGCACATACAAGTTGTGCACGAAGAAAAAGAGTTCATTACGACTGTGTCGGGTTTACCAGTTAATCGTTTTCTACCCGAAAACTATAATAAATGACAAGGTAAAAGCGACCAAGAATTAAGTACGAAACCACCTAGTAGATTCAGAATGCTTGAATCGTTGTTCACTACAACTCACGGAAAGAAAGTTGAGCAGGTTTGTGTTGAAAATTCTACCAATCGTACGGTTTTGAAGTCAAAATCTTTTATTGAACAATACTTTTAAGAAATATCAACTCTTAAAATAATATTAACCATTCAAAAACAGAAGCGAAAACTTACAAATTTCTCGCATTTACCGTCCGGCGAGACCTTTGTGGTAGATCTACTTGTTGCTTATAATGATTTGCGACCAGAAATTGCGTAGCTTTGTGTTGTAAAATTCTGAAAATTGTTCGATTTCTAACAAGATATACTTTTGAACAAAACCTAGGGACTGACTCAAAACATTTACCATTCTAATGAAGAGTTCCCAACGTCGCAAAGCCTCACTTCAAGTTAGAAAACTCAGTGTTATTTTCAGCCACAATTCGCATTTCATTTGGGAATGAAGTATCGTCACCTCCAGAATTAATTTTGTCTCTTAAAAGTAGCTACATGCTCAATTTTTTTTTCGAAACGAGTATTATTTAGCATATTTCCTTTTCATTTTGAGCTCCGGCAAAACGTCTTTCTCAATCAGGGTAAAACGGAAAACAATGTTGAAAATTTGAAACCTCGCGGCTTAATTCGATGGGAGCTTTTCACCGACAATGACGTCAGCCTGAACCTTCTCCATGAACTATGTATTTTTTTTTCGTACTAGATATTAGCCAATCAGAACACGCGTTACCATGTAGCTAAAAATGGTCGTCTGCTCGTGACGGAAGCGAGCTGAAGCTGCAATACTCTGATGATATCTCATCAGCGGAAGAGCCAATAAACATTTCCATTTCTCACACCCATATTGCACATCGCTTTATACGTCCGTTTTAGCTCGTTAGACGCCTGAAGTCTCTGTTACCTACGCTGTCCTTGACAGTTGTTAGATCAGAAAGTTTACTAAAACTCTTTTAAACAAGACAGAAGAATTGGAGAATTTTAAAACCGTGAATAGAAACAGAATCTGCAAAGAGTGTTTCCTAGTTACCTCAAGGTGAGGCCGGGTATTAGTGTTAATATTCTTAATCTCTGGCAACAACATCATTAAGAAGAGTTACCGAAAACATTCGTAACAACGATATAGCTATTGTGCAACACTTGTTTCGATATAAGGTCAGTACAAATATTTTGCTCATAATATTCCTTAGCTGCTGCTGGCTGTCACTGTGGCTCCTGATTTGAATTCTCGCTGAAACGTGTCCTGCGTCAAGAAGAACAATGGGAGTTTTGTCCATCTCCATCGCTCTTCTTTTCTGCATCTCCACAGGTAGGCTGGGAAGTAACATGTAGAAAAAAAAAAGAAATGTTTTCTCTTGGAGAAAATATAGGAACGATAAGAATATCAGAAGTACTCAACACGCTATTCTTATTTCTTTTGTTCATCTGCTCATTCAATTATTGATGCATAATCCTGCCGATTTCAATTCAAATATCTTTTAAAAATTGAAGTAATTTCTAAGCAGCATTTTATTAATGGATTGATTTCTTTTTTTTTTTTTTCATCCTATTTTCGGAATACCTTTGTGCTTATATGAAAGTTCAAAGCAGTTTAAGGGGCTTCATTTGACTTTTATAATGTGGCGCACTCCTAAAGAAACTAAAAAAAATGACATGGCACAAAAGAGCAGCTTTCTTTTACTGTTTATCAGTTGCACTCCAATGTGATAATTGATCATTTTCTGTGAATTAACATTTAAAAGGTCTCATTTTCCAGAGCACTTGCATAATTTTCATTATTTTATTTTATCATTTGCGAACTTGAAAGGTGTCGCAGGAAATTTATGCAATCAAGTATCGTTATTTTGACTTTCATAAGGACAAAATATTTGTAAAAGGAACTCTACAATTGATCGATTGGTATGAAAATGTCAAGAATGTCCCAATCAAACCATTATTGGGGCTCTGAAGTAAACACGCCTTCGATATTAGCCAGAATAATAATGGATTGACGTGCTGGGGAACTGCATACCAAACCAGGTTAAAGAAAATCAAAATAAGTCAAAACAATGGTATCTGCAGCATCTTCTTTGCTAGCAAAAGAGAAATTTCTACACAATATTTCACACTATTAGAAATCTTAGGATTAAAGAATATTTTTAAATATTAAAAATTGGCTCTCTTTTGCATAAAATTCAATTTCAAAAAAAGAACATACCTCCAGTCCTCTATGATCTAGCCCAATCGGCTTCAGCTGTCCAAAATTACTCTACTAGGTATGCCACTAATCAAAACTTGTACAGACCATTCTCTATAACCAATTATGGTCTAGCAAGATTTAGTGTGGTGGCATCACAGATCTGGCAAACGATATCTATTAAAATAAAGTGTCTCCC